AATGGCCATTACAGCTCTCTGCTTTGCAAGACAAAGAAAAGCAATGGAACCTATCACTCTTGCAGTGAGAAGGAAAGCTGACCCCTTCACCACAAAAGTCCTCAGAAGAAGATTGGAAGAAAACAACTGCCAAGAGCAGACTGCAGGATGAGCAGCAACAGAGTTCAGTGGAAGCACCATGTATTTTCCAGAGACCAATTTGAGACCGAGAAAGTGTCCACAACACTAGGTGGACAAGGTCCTAATAAAGTTTCTCACGTCCCGGAACTGCTGGGAGGAGTATCTGTAGAATATTCAACAACAAATTTCTGATTGAGGGTTGGTGTGGCATGGGAGGGGGAGAGGCGAGGACAGATAGCAGGACTTCCTGGGAACCTGCATGGCATCACCATACATAAGGCAGACATCTCCTTGGATGCCAGCATCGTACATAGGCACTGAGTCTAGTCCCAGCTGTACCTCTTGTAATCCAGCTCCCTGCTCCATGGCAGAGGCAAGTAGAAAAAAAAAAATCAACTAGGTACCTGACCACTTAGCTCAAAACATGGGAAACCTGGGAAAACCTCCTGACCACTTGGCTTCACTCTGGCTCAGCACAGCTCCTGCCCTGCCTGACCCAGCACATGGTACATCCCTGTCTCTCTTTCACTCCCTGTCATTCTGCCTTTCGTATAAGGAACATATTCTCATTACCCAGATCTACATTTTGTTGGTTTTGCTTTTCTGCTTTATATTTGAAAGGCAGGTTCACAGGGAGAGTAGGAGAGACAAAGATCTTCCATCACCTGTTGGATCATTCTCCAAATGGATCACTCTGCAAATGGTCACAGCAGCCAGATCCAGGACACTCTGAAGCCAGGGGACTGGAGTTTCCTTCAAGTCTCCTGTGCATGTGCAGGCGTGCAAGGACTGCAACCACACTCTGAGGTTTTCTCCAGCACAACACCAGGCAACTGATTTCTAATTGCAGCTGCTGCCACACAAGAACCACCTCACAGGGGAGGCTTGGCCTGCCAGGCCACACTGCTGGCTCCTCAAATCAATGTCTTCTAAAAAACATTCATGTGTACCACCCAGGGCAATGAGTCCATAGCAATGGCTCAATTGCTATGTTCCTCAAGGACAGAAAAGTGGGGAATGGTAGTCAGTTGTTTAAGGATCAATCACTCTTGGTCCTGGCACAATATCCTAGCGGCTAAATCCTCACCTTATGTGTGCTGGGACCCCACATAGGCTCTGCTTCGTGTCCTAACTACTCCACTTCCCATTTCCCACCAAGCTCCCTGCTTCTTGACCAGGAGAGCAAAAGTGGAAGGCATTTCACCTCGGGAACCCTCACTGCATGCAGCACTGAAAAGAAGCCTTGGCTCCTGCCTTCAGGTGGGTCTCCTTAGTTGTGGCCGTTGCAGGCGCATGGGGAGCAAACCAGAGGACAGAAGGGCTTGCTCACTGTCTTTCCCTCTCCGGGAAACCTAACATTCCTGGAAAAATAAATATGCCTATTTTTCATTGCTTTCCATTTGAAATGCAAAAGTACAACAGAGAGGGATGGAGAGACTATGAGATCCTTCTATTCAATGCTTCTCTACCAAAATGGCAGCGATGGTCGGAGATGAACCAATCTGAAGAAAGAACCCAGAAGCTTCTTCATGGTCTTCCTTGTGGCTATAGGAGGTCAAGGCCTTAAGCCATCCTCTGCTGTTTCCAAGGCCATCAGCGGAGTGGTGGACTGCAAGTGGCACACCAACTGGCACTCTTTACAGAGGCCAGCACATCAGGCTGAGAATCAGCCTACGATTCTATAGCGTCAACTACCTCCCCCACCAGAATCTTCCTCCAAGGATTCTGGAGGGCTACAGAACCATTACATCTTCTCTCCTCATTTCCTATACAAGAGGGGCTGCACACTTGCCTATCCCTTGCGTGGAACTCTTCTCAATGGATCCCTCTCAGAAGCTCGAGAACTTGCACTCCATGTTCGTGGCCAGGTTCCCTGCATCTTCATCATCACCCTGATATCACTGCCTTCTTTGCACAGGATTCAGCCACTTAAGTGATCTAATCATGCAGTACGTGTTGTGTGTCGAGGGTAGACCACACACCCACAGGTTCTGGTCTCTGAGACTGCAGATGCTCCTGCGCCTGAGGTCAATATGAGATGAGTTACTTCATAACATTTATGGGTCTTAACTCATGGCTGCTATTAGAATTCCAAAATTCAAGTTGTTAACAAAGAGAATGTAACAAAAGTATAATACACAGTGTAATTTTCTTTACAATGTGGGTTATATAAAGAAATTATTAAAAAAAAAAACCACCTAACATCTTAAAGGAAATAAGAGTAACACTGTTCTAATCATTCAATGTGTCAAAAAAAATCACATAAGACTATGTGGCAGATCAGGGCAGGTGGGGACCCCAGAGTGGAGCAGCACAGGAGGAAGCTTGTATCCCAACCCTGGAGACTCCTGGATCCTTACCTAGGACTATCAGCACGGGCACCAAGGGCTATATCCCAACTGCCAAGGAGACTACTGGAAAATGGAATGCCCTCTTAGACCAAGAATTATGGGGTCATCCACTCTCTTTCAGAACTCCCACACAGGATGGAAGAAGCCCAGATCCTTCCTTACAGGATCTAATGTCATCAGAACAACAGCCAAGAGCCCTGAGCTGTCCTCAGAAACAAAATAGTAAACTTCCTTCCTAACTCGGGAGAGGAGCTTTCTCTGGTCCTTACTTAGCTCCAACTTTGGATCCCTACCCTCCCTTGCAATGACCATCAGGGTTGCTCTGGAGGCACACCCCCCCAAAAAAAAACATTAGATTAGACAGACAAAGACCAATAAGGAAAGTTGAGCACAGACAGGAAACGTTTAGCTTGGACTCACATATACCTAACTAGGTAGGACACAAAGATTAGTTACTCCTCACCAAGGTATTGCACACCCCTCCTAAAACTGTTCTGCTCCCAATTGTTAACATATGCCTTGTTAGAGTTATAAGTCTGTTTGGACTATCCTAAATTTGCCAGGTTCAGTAAAATCATGCTTCAATACTGTAAGCTGCTAAACACAAAAATTAAAATAGACACAAGACAGCTGCATAATACCCTATAACCATTTCAAGGTGTAGAGCAGCCGGATGTATATAAACTAAAATTGAAATGTCAATTAAGTAATGACAGGATGAGGTTAAGAACTTGCATTTTCTAACATATTAGTCACTCAATACCATGTCAATTAACTCCATAATGCTGTAAATTGCTGTTGAAGTTGTGTAGTAGCTTTTCATTGGAGGGGGTAATATTGTGCCAGCTCTATTTTCAGACCAGAGAAGTCTCCGCAAGTAATTGTTGAATTTATCTGGACAATAAGAGGCTGGACTCTATGCATGGTACATGCTCACAATGAGGGAATCACGACTGGCTATGAACTGTACTGCTGCAAAAATGTGGAGGAATCCACCATGGGGGTAGGGCATGGGGAGGGGTTGATGGAATCCCAGAGCCAATAAAACTGTCACAAAATGAAACTGAAAAAAGATTATGTGGCAGATTCTATGCTATAAAAATGTAGCAAAGCTCACAAATCGGGTCTTGATAAATATAGCACTTAAAGTATAACACTAGTAAATTTGAAAGAAGTTAAGAATGGAGTCAAGGAGGTTAACAGGGCATAGTGTCTCCCCATCCACAGAGTACGGCTGCATAGCACTCCCATTATGTTCCTGCCCTTTAAAGTAACTAACTATTGAGATATGAAGAAACTTTACTTCTAACTACAAAGGGGGAAAATATGCTCCCTTAGTGTCAGGCCTCTTTAAGAGGGAGGGAGAGAAGCAGGGAGAAATGCATGTGCTTAGAGAAACAGGGACCATCACAGAAGCACAGATATTCAAGCCTCCAAATCAATAAGAGAATGAGTGTCAGCAAAACCCAATCTACACAATAAATTTTAATTTAGAAAATAAAACTGCTTTCATATGAACATATTAAATTAAGGTATGAACTTTTGTCTGCAGATAATCAACACCTAAGTATTTAGTGACTGTTACATGGTACCACATATTAAGGCTGGTGATGGGAATAAAGTTGAGGAGAAAAAAAATTATCTTTGTTCTCTATATCTGAGTATTCTGAGAAGAAGTTGTTGTTGGGACTGGTGTCATGGTAGCACGTTAAGCTTAACCTCCAGCCTTCTTCAAACTTTTCTAATCAAATTACATCAGGCTTGCATCTAGACTACCCTACTTAGAATAACAAAACTCCTCTTGTACATCTGACTCTTACTCTACTCTGTTTTAAGCACTTACCATCTTTGAACATACTATATTATTTACACAGTTACCTACTCACTGATTTTTGTCTGCTCTCTGCTCTCCAACAAGGCAAGGGCAAGCAAAGCTTTTTTTTTGTTTGCTGTTCAGTACGGTTACAATAAGTCTAAAACAAAACTTTGTACACAAGAAGTGCTCCAAAAATTCTTGAATAAGTGAACAGACAGTTGAGCAAATTTAACAGGCAAATCAACATTTATCAAATTTAATTTTAATTACTCAGCAAGCAATACACTGAAAACTGAATTGTGTAACAAAGGAAATGAATGTCCTTAAGCTTTGATGTCTGTTTCACATAGTTCCCCTCCTCAATCCAAATACCATTCCCCTATTCATACATATGCTTGCCAGATAGATTGCAGTTCAATAGCTACAACTAACAGCATTTCTTCCAAAACATCATCCTTGTACCCCGGGTCTCGATTAGGTGCTACTCCCCATGTTTTCTCCATACACCTCAGTAAACTTTACCTCCTAGCCTTGCCAAATACATTCCAAAGACTACCTCAGTTCATCTGCTTCCCAGACCAAAACATGAGCTTCTTGAGAGCGGAACTGATTCTTCACGCTTCCCTCATTAGTATATACCTCACATCACATAACACACAGAGATAACCAATTATTTTTAAAAATCTAATTAACAGTGATTCACAGAAACTTACCTGTTATTTGTTTCCTTAGTTTCTCAATTTCTTCTTTTAAAGTTTTTATTTCTAAATCTTTACTTGCTGTTAAAGGACCATCAACAGTTGAATACTGCAGAGCCTGGACAGTCTGTGTTGACTCTTTAAAGAATAAAATAAAAGTTTTAATAAACTAAACCTTAAAACTAATAATACTTATAGAAAAATCATCATACCTTTCTCAATACCAGAACATTTAGCAACCAACAAAAGGTCCTAGAGACAATAAAATTAAGTCACAAAAATCCCATTGTGTGAATTTAAAATTATAACAGACACATATTTTAAAAATCCATGAGACTCTAAGGCTTTCAGTGAAGAAAAACTTCTGTTATGCTCTGACAGCAAATCATCTTTTAGTCTAGTAGGGGGAGCATCACCACGATATAACACAATTCTATGTCAGATGATATATTAGGAATTGAATCAGATCACTAGATATTTAGACATTAAAAATAATATACAGACATGCTAACTTTCCAACTTTTATTTAAGAAAGTTGAAGCCCATTTACAAATGACTCTGGCTCCCTAACTTATTTGAAATATTTAGTTAAAAGATTAATTTATCTTATAATCCTAATCAGAAGATACATGGCACTTTTAAATTTTTTAAATTTTTTTATTGCATTTCATTTTAGGACATCATTTCATAGGCTGTGAAGTTCCAACAACCCCTCCCCATGCCCTACCCCCACGGTGGATTCCTCCACCTTGTTGCAGTAGTACAGTTCAAATTAAGTCAAGATTCTTTCATTGCAAGCATGTATCAAGCATAGAGTCCAGTATCTTACTGTCCAGATAAATTCAACGATTACTTGGCAAGACCATCTCTGGTCTAAAGGTAGAGTAGAATATCATCCCGATCAATTAAAAGCCACAACATAATATCAACAACAATTTACAACATTATGGAGTTAATTGACATGGTATTGAGTGACTAATATGTTTAAAAAATGCAAGTTCTTAACCTCATGCTGTGACTACTTCATTGACATTTTAATTTTAGTTTATACACAACCTGCTTCTATATACCTTAAAATGGCTATAGGGTATTGTTCAGCTGTCTCATGTCTATTTTCATTTTAGTAAAGGAAAATTTTAACCATATGTGATATATGCAGATATATGTGTATTTATACATACAACACATACAGGTGTATACACAAGCTCACACATGTATGGGCTTCAAAATACTTATTTTCCAGAATTCTTGAAGTACTCCTGTGCATGTATATGATAATCTTTATATGCTTAGTGGTTTGTAAATACTAGTTAACTTGAATTAAAGATATAAGATACTATACTGCACATCTGATTGTAATCATATACATCCAATATCTTACACATTTCTTCTTTGTGTTCAAAGCAAGGGAACAAATTTAACATTTTGGACTTGCTGTTTTAGTTTCCAAAAGACATCTAAATATGAAACAGAAAATTGGGAAATATAAAAAATACCCAAGAGATCTTAACAGAAGCTATCTTTCTATTGATACTTCACTTCCTGCAGGGCATACAAGTGGGGTAGATATCAATGCTCCTTAAAACGAAAGCTAAATCCCTAGGTATGCTGAAACATCCACCTCTCTATTAAGGTTATCCACTTGTCTTTTCTATCTTACTCCCTGTTTAAATGAGGATTTTGCATATTGTTCTCTAATATTCTTCCCAATTACTAACCCTTCTATTATTCTTAGTAACTTGGATCATTCAAAGCAACACCCATCTAACTTTGGCTTCTGAGGCAGATATCCCTATGGGAGAGACTGCTAGTTTTTATCAGCTACTCTTTCCAACTTGCTTGTGAATCATGCCTTGCCATCAAGTTACAGCATGCATAGGCAATGTGAACCTGAATAAAACTGCAGCTGGCTGTAAATTAATCTTGACAGTTACAGTATAAATTGTCAGTAGAGGTCAAAAATTAGGTACCAACGTGACTTGACTCTATCAAAACTAACAGCACCTATAGAAATCCAACAGGGGGCTTCAAGGACAGGTTTTAACAGGCTCTTTTTCTTTCTTTTTTTTTTTTTAAAGATTTATTTTATTTATTGGAAAGTCAGATATACAGAGAGGAGGAGAGACAGAGAGGAAGATCTTCCGTCCGATGGTTCACTCCCCAAGTGAGCGCCAACAGCCGATGCTATGCTGATCTGAAGCCAGGAGCCAGAAACTTCTTGCGGGTATCCCACATGGGTGCAGGATCCCAAGGCTTTGCACTGTCCTCAACTGCTTTCCCAGGCCACAAGCAAGGAGCTGGATGGGGAGTAGAGCTGCCAGGATTAGAACCGGCACCCATATGGGATCCCGGGGCGTTCAAGGAGAGGACTTTAGCCGCTAGGCCATACTTCCGGGCCCATGGGCTCTTTTTCTATCCACTATATTTTATTACTAATAGAATTGTAAAACAACTTATTTTATAATAAATTTAAATTTTTTTATATTTATCATTATTATTTTCCATGACACAGTTGGTATAGGTACAGGGATTCCCCCCTCCACCTTCTTTCCTCCCTTTCCATACACACTATTTTCCTCATATTATTATACAGTAATACTCTACTATACTATAATCTTTCAGCAACAGTCACAAGCCCATCATTCTGCTATTTAAGTGTAGCATAGCATTGTAGGTATAGGCAACATTAGGGAACCTAGTATTATATTGTCAAGGTATATTTAACTGTTTCATTAGGAGTCCTCTTTTTATTCAGGAAGAGAGATGCCTACTGCAATATATCTTCACTTTCCAGTATGCTAGTTTCCATTACGCAGTTCATCTATAAGAATATATGTATGTTTATCTGTAAGTCTATTTGTTTTGTATTTTGCTCCTACATGAAAGAAAACCGCTCTTCCTGTTTTTGTCTCTGGGTGTGTATGAACAAGAAGTCTGAACTTTGGTAATACTGTGGAAGCACATGGAGAAAGCTCGTGACAATAGAGAAACTGTCTCAACATCAGGACCGAAACAATCTACCTCTGACTACTTATATAAGAAATAAGTCTGCACTAAGATTTTTCACATATGCAGCCCCAAACAATCCAGTGTCGGGGTTTTCTCCAGCACAACCACTAAATTAACTGGCCCTGTGCTAGAAGCTGGGGAGGAAGAGAGCTGTTACTTACACTCTGCTACAGATAACTGGTGTTTGGAATTAGAAATGATTAGTATTTCAGAGAATACGAAATCATCCCTCACATGAAAACAAATTACCCTGTACCAAGTGTTTTTAGTCATCCTATTCAGAAATTCTGATACAATTAGCAACAGTACAATCTCCAAAATATTTTTATGTTTTTTAAAGATTTATTTTAGATTTATCTTTTTTAAAGATTTATTTATCTTTATTGGAAATTCAGATATACACAGAGGAGGAGAGATAGAAAAGAAAGTCTTTCACCCACTGATTCACTCCCTAGAGTGGCCAAAACGGCTGGAGCCGAGTCAATCTGAACCTAGGAGACAGGAACTTCTTCCAGGTCTCCCACGAGCATGCTGGGCTCCAAGGCTTTGGGCCATCCTTGACTGCTTCCCTAGGCCACAAGCAGGGAGTTGGATGATGGGGTCACCAGGACACAAACTGGCAACCCATATGGAATCCTGGGGCGTGGAAAGTGAGGACTTTAGCCACCAGGCTACCATGCTGGGCCCCAAATAAAGATCTCTTAATCTCTCTCCCTATTCTCTCCCCCATGTTTCGTGTCTGTGTGTGTGTGTGTGTGTATTCTTTCTCAAAAAAGTTGTTCTGATTGGGTCCAGCGCAATAGCCTAATGGCTAAATTCTCACCCCGAAGGTGCAAAGATCCTATATGAGCACCAGCTTGTGTCCTGGCTCCTCCACTTTCCATCCAGCTCCTTGACTGTGGCCTGTGAAAGCAGAAAAGGATGGTCCCATGTAGGTGCAGGTTCCCAAGGCCTTGGAGCCATCCTCTACTCCTTCCTCAGCATCTTTTCTGAAGTGAATAGATTATGACAACATTTAAAGAGTCAGAAGTCTCATCTACTTTCTAAGCACTCTTAAGTTCAAGCTTATACCAGAGGGAAGAAACCATCAAGGCTTCTGGACAATGTGTGGGAGTGTTGAAACAATTAGGAAGCCTCTGGGTACCTAAGCATGTGGATTTCTTATGCCTGTGGTATATTTGTTGTTCCTGGGGGCTGTATAAAAGTTGGGAACTTCTAAAAGATTGCAATCTACAACATTATTGGAGATTTCAGAGACAAGTTTCTGGCCTACAAAGTCCTGACAGATCAAACACACAGCCAGTCTCTTCCACTAAATATGAAAGTGGCAGAGAAAAGGAGGATTGAAGGGCAAATTAAATTTTCCATAGGCTATGGAGTAAAAAAGAGACCCAATTAGACTTTCTCTAGTTCTTCCTTCTTAACATTTGAAATCAGAAGGAAAATCTTATTTGAGAAAAAATTCATCCTTTGTTGTTTTCACGGCCATGGGACCCTGCACCCCATGTGGGAGACTTGGACAAGGCAAGTTAAGTTACAGCCCACAATACTGGCATGACATATGGGCAAAAATTCAGGTACTTGCTGGCCCAATTCTGATCAGCTTCCTGTTAATGTGCCTAGGAAAGCAGCAGAGGGTGATCCAAATCCTAGGGTTCCCTGCTACACAAAATGGGAGATCCAGAAGAACACTTGGCTTCTGGCCCCTAGTTTTGGCCTGGTGATTATGACTACCTGGTACTGAATCAGTGGGTAGAAAACATTACGGTGTGTGGTACTGAATAAGTGGGTGAAAGAACTCTCCCTTTGTGTCTCTTCCTATTTCTGTAAATCTTCCTTAAAAATAAATCAAATAGGGCCCAGTATGGTAGCCTAATGGCTAAGATTCTTGCCTTGCATGTATGGGCTGGGAAACAATATGGGCAATGGTTCATTTTTCAGCTGCTCCACTTCCCATCCAGCATTCTACCTGTGGTCTGGGGAAGCAATCAAGGAAGGCCCAAAGCCTTGGGACCCTGCAGGCACATGAAAGACCGGGAAGAAGCTCCTAGCTCCTGATCAGCTCAGCTCCAGCTACTGTGGCAGCTTGGGGAGTGAATCAGCAGCTGGAAGATCTTTTTCTCTGTACATCTGTGTTTCCAATAAATATCAATAAATAAATCTCAAAAATAAATTAATTAATCAAATAAATCTTAAAAAGAGAATAAAAATAAATTTTTACAATGTTGGCCACAGAGGCTGCTGCCATGGTGTAGCACGTTATGCCCTTGTTTATAACACCAGCATCTCATATGGATGCCATTTCCAATCCTGGCTATTCCACTTCAGATGCAGCAAGCTGCTAATGGCCTAGGAAAGCAACGAGGATGGTCCCTGGGTGCCTGCACCTATGTGGAACACTGCAAAAAAGCTCCTGGATCGCAGCTTCAGTCAGGCCCAGCTCTGCCTGTCGTGGCCATTTGTCTCTCCTTCTTACTCTGAGCTCTTCCTTGCAAACAAAAATTAACCTTTAAAAAATTTTTTATTTTAAATGTTCGTTACAAAGGGAAAATAATCCACATGCCAAGATCTCAACTACTTACTGAAAAGAATAAAGTAGTCTGTTCATATATCTATACTTTCACTCTTCTGGAACTCGAAAGTTTATGATTATAAAACTTCCACTGTTACTCATTGGAACTATAAATTCTTGATTGGATAAATACAAACATTCCTTCACTTACAAAAAATATCCAAAGAAAATACACTGTATGTCACATTCTTTATTTTAGAGAAAATAAAGCAAACTAGTGGAAAAGTACTAAGGATAGACATGAAACTAAATTATAATTAGAATGGTGAAGAGAGATTTTATTTAAGCAGAGGTAAGGGAATGTAACTGTCAAAAAAAAATTTTTTTTAAAACTAGGGAAACAAGGAATGCAAAGGCCATAATGTGGAGATGTTTCATAGCTTTGGAAAAACAGAGAATTCAGGGTAACTGGAATGAAAAGAACCAGGGAAGGTAGTAAGAAATGACATCAGAAAGGAATTAAGAATCCACTTATATATGGCTGTAAATCACAGAAGTAAGTTTGGCCATTGGTGTGAATGACACAGTAAGTTACCGGGCACGGAGAAAGTAAAAGTACATAACTTATGTTTAAAAGAGTTTCCTGTCTATTATATTAGAGGGAAAGAGCTAAAGTAGAGGGAATTAGTGGAAGAAAAAATAGGGAAACCAGTTAGTATGATCCTATAAGTAAAAGTTAATGATGCTTTGAAACAGGGTTAGACAAATGGTCCAAACTAGAGAACATTATGCTTAGTGAAATAATTCCAAAAGGACAAACACCATATATTCTCTCTGATACAAAGCAACCTTCATGCAAATTGTAAGATCAGTAATCCTCTCAATACTATTTTTACTACAGCCCATGTGTTTTGATGTTTTTGTTTTTATTTTCATTTCTTCCAAATAGCTTCTTTAATTAAATTCTTCACTGACTCATAGATCATACAGTAGCATCATTTTCTCCAAAGAGTTTTTTCGTTTTCTTTTTCATTTCTTATTGACACACTGGTTACTCAGCACGTTACTTAACTCCATGGTGTTGTAAATTTTTTTTAACTTTATTCCTGTTGTTGATTTTGTTTTATGGCTTTTCATTTAAGGGGGATGTATAGCAATTGTGTAATAGACACTATCATATCCAGATGTGAAGATATAATACAGTATGCATCTCTACTTCAAAGATGGACTCCTAATGAAGCAGTTGGATATATCTTGACAAGAGGATGCTGGACTGCCTGCCATTGTCTGCACTGGCAGATACACTTAAATAGCAGAATGATAGGTTATGACTACTTATGAAGAACTATGCTACTATAATAATATGTGGGAAATCAGAGTGGGGGAAGGGAATTTGGGGAAGGGGTAAGAAAACGCCAAGAGCCTATGGAATTGTATCATAAAATTTAAAATAAAATTGAAGGGGAAGAAAAAAGGAATAAACAGGGTTAGATGCCCACAGTAAGCATCATGAGACTCTGGATCAACTTCTACAGTAAAGGTGACCTAATTGGCTGATATATCAGATGTGAGAATATAAAGGAAATGCAAGGATATAAGGATGGCTGTGAAGTTTCACTTCTGAGCAACTGCAAATATGGGATACTCTAGAGAACTCTATCATTCACAGGACAAAGAGTAAAGGAGGTATCAGGAAAGACTAAAAAGAATTATTTATGAGCAAAAAGGAAACCAGGAGAGTGAAGTAGCCCATAAACTCAAAGAGTGATAAGAAGAAAGAAATTTCATTAATCTTCGTTAAAAGATTAAGATGGAGAAATGATCACTGGTTTTTTAACACACAGTAGGGACACGAGGTGGGGAACAGGATTACTGGACAGCATTAACAGCCAAAATGAGATTAGTGCTCATGAAATGGAAATGAAAGCATGCTTTGTATGTTAAGGAAATTGCCTTCAGCTCTAGAGTTCTGGATACAAAGTTGTATTTAAACAGAGTTGAGGTTCTGCCAGAGGAATTAAACAGTAAGAAACAACAGATCAGAAGGTGTAAGATTATGAGAGAAAGGAAGGTACATAGTGAATAGTTAAATGGTGATACACTTTCAGATAATAGTGAGACTGAAAGAATACTGGAGTAAAGGCACCCAAGAATTTACCAGAAATCATTAGCACATTACAGAGACTTTGCTTGAAATTAAGATTAATGAAAGAAAGGGTTTAGATATTTTTATCTCAACACATAACCTTACTAAATAGGAGATGAAGCAAATGTGGTGGGATAAACAACAAGTTCACTAAAGTTGAAGAAAGAAGAAACTATGGATACTAAACTATCACCTACAGGCATTTTAAAATCGCCAGATACTGACACTTTAAGCACTGTTTTGACTGTTTAGCAGGTATTTCAACAGGAACTAGAACTTTCATGGTCTGAGAAAACGAAACACAAAAATTAATTCAAGTACTGTATTTGAACAGCCCTTTTGTTCTTAGTAGTGCCATTCCTCTCTCTAGAGGTATTTATTCCCATACATTCAGATACATACTTAGATGCCTAGGGGAAGAAAATGCTACCTTAGTATTTATTGTTAACTGTGTGATTTTACGGTATATTGCAAATAACTCTAAAATTTGTTTTACACCTAATAAAAGAATTTTTATTAATGAAACAGTTAACAGCACTGTGAGTCCAATACAAAATGGAAAATATTCTATTTAAATAGGTTTACCTTGAAGCTTTCTACTGAGTTCAAGTTTTTCCTGTTCAAGGCGTTTAATTCTTCTTTCATAAGCTTCAGTGGCTAAGTTGTTATCTAAAGTTCTTTGAACATTAGCATCAAGATCCAGTGACGTGGGACCAGCTGTTACCCTTAAACAGCTCCGATCAGAAAGGACACTGAAGAAAAGGGGGGAAAAAAAAGTGGATTCACACTGTAATAATAAGCCTAAAATAAAAAGATGGATCTCGTTAGATTGCTCATTTTAAAACAAGTACACCAGTTATAAGGGCTGTAAAATAAAACAAAACTAAAACAAACAAAAAAACACTTTTTTGGCAAAATGATCTTAAACTACGTTATAGAAGCATTTTTTAAAACAAAAAGTTAAATGTAGAAAATAATGTTACACTATTAAAAGTAACTTCAAATAGCACAATGAAGTTTGCTAAAGGGTTACTGATTGTTTAAAAATAATCTGCCTAACTACGTGAAACAGAAGTCAAAATCACCAAATGGGTGAGTATTTGGTTTAACAGTGAAGATGCTGGTTGAGACACCAGCATCTCCTATCTGGGTACCTGGGTTTAAGTCCTAAGTCTGCCCCCAATTCCAGCTTTCTATCGATGTGCACGCACTATATGAAGCAGCAAGAGATGGCTCAAGTAGTTGGATCTCTGTCACCCATGTAAGAAATGTAGGATAAGCTCCCAGCTTCTGGCTTTGGCCTGTATGAGACCTGGTTGTAGCAGGCATTTGAGATTTGAGCCAGTAGATGGGAGATCCTTCTATGTCTTTGCAGCCTCTCAAATAAACAAACAAAATTTTAAGTGCCAACAACGGTCATTTTCACCAGCATTTGGAATGCAAAAACATGGAATTTCTTCGAGGGAAAACAACTGTGCTAAAAATACGTGAGGTACAGGACACTGAACATGAAACAAAATAGACAAAACAAACAAAAAAAAATTTTCTCAAACAGTTTATAATACAATGACAGAGACATAAATACATGGGAAAATGGTAAGTTCAAGTCATTTTCAATAATAACCCTGAATGCAAACAGCCTAAACTCTATTCAAGATGCAGACTGGCTCAATGGATGAGCAAATAAGACCCATCCATTTGTCGCCTGTAAGAAACACTCCTTACCAACAAGAATACATACAAGTTGAAAGTGAAAATATGGAAAAAGATACTCTATGCAAACAAAAAGGAGCAGATGTAGCCATTCTAATATAACATAAAAAAAGATTTTAGCAGAAAAATTATTAAAAGAGATGAAGAGCCATCACACATCAATCATGGGATTAATTCAACTACTGGGAAATGTATATACACCCAATACCAGGGCACCTGGTGATTTAAACTCACCGTTAACGGATCTAAAGGGAAACACAAACTTCAACACAATAACAATTGTGGGATTTCAACATCCTACTTTCATCAATGAACAGATCAACTAGACAGACAATCAACAAAGAAACAGTAATTTATACTATGAACAAGAAGACCTACTTGTTACCTACAGAACATTTCATCCCACTGACGCAGAATACGCATTCTTTTCATCAGTTCTTGGAACCTAGTCTTATATAGACCACATGCCATGTGTCCTTTCTGACCACCTTGAAATGAAACTTGCAAACAACTCATACACTCTAGAAAGTATGCAAACAATGGAGGCTGAATAATACCCTACTCAGCCAATGGTGTGTCACAGAAGAAATCCAATAGGAAATCAAAAAAGTTCTGGAAACAAATGAAGATGACAGCACAACACATCAAAATTTATGTGATATAGCAAAAGCAGTGTTAAAATGTACAAAGATTCATCAGGAATTACTACAAACACCTATATGCCAACAAACTGAAAAATCAAGAAGAAATGACTAGATGTCTTAACAGATGCAATCTACTTCAGGAGGGCACAGAAAAACTAAACAGACAAATAACTATGATGGAGATTGAGTCAGTAGTAAGAACCATCCAATTAAATGCCCAGAACTGAGCAGCTTCTCTATTTTCAAGAAAAATTAATTTCAATTTTCCTCAAACTATTCTAAACAACTGAATCATCTTAAACCCCTTCAGAAAAAAATATAAAAGTAAACCAATATTCCAGATGAATATAGATGCAAAATCCTCAATAAAATACCAGCTAACTGAATCCAACAACACATCTTAAAGATCATTCATTCAAACCAAGTGGAATTTATCCCTGGTATCCAGGATGGCTCAACATACACAAATCAATAAATATGACATGTCACATTAACAAGATGGGAGAACAAAACCCACAATTATCTCAATAGACAAAGCATTTGATAAAATACAACAACATCCTTTCATGCCAAAAATCTTAAGTAAACTGAGTACAGAAGGATCATTCTTCAACACAACCAAGGTAATATATGAAAACTCACAGCCAGCATCATATTGAATGTGTAGAGTTGAAGTCATTTCTACTAAGATTCTGAACCAGACAAGGATGTCCAGTCTTATCACTGCTATTCAAAATAGTGCTGGAAGTTCTAGCCAGAGCCATTAGACAAGAAAAAGAAATTAACTGTACATAAGTTGAAAAGGAGGAGGTCAAGTGACCCCTGATTGCAGATGACATGATTCATTGAGAGGAACCAAAAGACTCTGCAAAGAGACTATTGGTGCTCATTAGTGAGTTTGGTAAAGCAGCAGGATATAAAATCAATACACAAAAAATCAGTAGCCTTTGTGTAAGAAATCCTATGGCTGAGACAGACCTTTTAAGACTAACACCATTTACAATAGATGCAAAAAAAAAAAATCTTAAGTATCTTTGAAAAAATTTAGCCAAGAATGTTGAGGGATCACCACAATAAAAATTATAACATTAAAGAAAGAAATAGAGTAAGACATCAAAACATGGAAAAACCTTTTGTATGCCTGAATTGGTAGAATTAACAGCATAAAAAGGCCCATATTTCAGAAAGTAATTTACAGATTCAATGAGATCCCAATCAAAATTCCTTCAAATTCTTCTGAGGTCTAGAAAAAATGTTTCTAAAATTCACAGAAACATAAGAGAACTACAACAGCTAAAGCAATCTGAAAGAACAAAAACAAAGCTGGAGGCTTCAAAATGCCCGATATAAGATATGTTACAATGCAATCATAAAATTGCCTGGTATTGTCACAAAAACAGACCTGAAGACCAATGAAACAGAACAGAAATACCAGACATGAACCCACAAAGCTACAGTCAACTAATTTTTGACAAATGAACTGAAATCAATCTAGGGAAGGACAGTCTCTTTAACAAATGATGCTGGGAAAATTGGATCTATGTATGTAGATGTATGAAACAAGATCCCTACCTTACAGCTCTTAACAACAATCAACTCTAAATATATCAAAAATCTACATATACAACCCAATACCATCAGATTACTAGAGGAAAGTATCAGAAACACACACCAAGACATAGGCATAGGCAAAGAATTCATGGGTAAGACCCCTGCAGCACAGGCAGGCAAAACAAAAACAAATGGAACTATATCAAACTAAGAAGCGTCTGCAGCACAAGGGAACAGTCAATAAAAAAGCAATTCAACAGAATGGGAGAAAATATTTGCAAACTGTACACATGACAGAAGATTAAGAACTCAGCAAAGCACATGAAGAGGCATTTCCCAAGGGATAAAGTTCAACTGGCCAGCAGACATGAAGAAATGCTCAGGCTTACTAGTCATCAGGGAAATGCAAATAAAAAACTACAATGAGGCTGGTGAGCATGTGAGGAAAAAAGTACTTAAACCCACTGCTGGTGGGAATGTAAATTAGTGCAATCATTATGGAAAATAATATGGAGAGTCCTCAGATATTCAAAAGTAGATCTACCATATGACCTAGCTATCACACTCCTGAGAATTTATTCAAATTTGAAATAAAAACAACCTGAGAAAGCTCGCTGTACCCATGTTTATACTAGCTAAGAAACAGAATCAATCCAGATGTCTATCAACAGGTGACTAAATAAAGAAAATAGAGTACCCATAAACAATGGAATACTACAAAGCTATGAAAAGGATGAAATATTGCCTATTCCAACTAAATGGGTACAACTGAAAACCATTGTGCTTAGTGAAAGTAAGCCAATCCAAAAAAAGACAAATATTATATATTTTTCCTGATTGGTGGTAATTAATACACAGAACACCCACCCCCCAAAGAGAGAGGTAATCCATAGGTACAGAAGTAATACTCAGGGACTGGATTATTGCATACAGCCTGTTTATGTAACCTGAGAAATAACAGGTTCGGTTCTTTTGTTTGCATGTTACTCTTTTGTTCTTTGTTACTGCTATTATTTCCTACTTGCCATTTATTGCTATCAATATCCAACAGTGTTAAACACGTGGGAAAATAACAATAAACATAAAATTTAAAAACAAAAAAATAAATGAGATGACAAAGCAGATGACACATTAAAGGGAGAAGCTTATGATGTCAAAGTAAGCAATGAACTAGATTAGCCAGCAGGGGATGGAAGTGTCTGGCTTTAGCAACAAGCCTGCATAGTGATTCATGAAAAGATGAGAATATATTAGTTCAGAGAAGTGTACATGGGAAATGTGGTCATAGGAACACATGGAAGCTTATCTGTTTGCTTCAGACATCCCAATCAGGACACAAAAGTGGCAGCTGACAGAGAGAATAACAATGATTTCTAAGACAGGTGTAATACATGAAATATCTATGGAGGTTAAAGCAAAAATGAATATATTAATGTAACACTGAATGTATATTTACAAGGCACCAATAAGAGCTACCTACATTTGATAATAATGAATTTGAAGACTAGGAAAAATATTCTTCTCTAGTCACTCTCAATTTCATTGACAAGATCTCGCAGAGATTTTAATTTTAACAATGAACATTCATTTAGCAAAAACAATCAGAACAGAATAGAGACAGCCAAAGAATTGAGGCAGCAAACAGAGTAATTATAATTATTATCAATGGAATTTAAGCTGGGTAGAGAGGAAAGGAAAAAATACATGTGGAATGTCTGACAGTGAATCATGGCAGTACTAATTAAAATGCTTGACATTAAACAGCATTAGCGCTCTTCTAATTACTATCCCTTTCTAAGGGTTACACTCTGAGTTTTCTATTTGTCCCATTCATTCTCCTCCAAAATGAGTTAAGATCTTACATGTTCTATTCAATTTGTAAAATATTTATTTAGTAACAACAGTTTATATTTTTAAGTATTTAATTTATAAGACTCTTTCACACATTTACCCATCTTTTTACATAATACATTGCATTTTTAACATTTCAATTCACTTTCAGCTGCTTTAAATTGTCCAAATTATATAAACCTTTCAAACTTACCAGCTACTAGTATATGTAAAACCAACAAATGGTAGATGGTGGCCAGAAAATGCAGTGTGTGTTGGTGGGGGCATTGTTTCCTAGAAAAGGAAAAAATATCTATAAGAAATATTCAGCTTTCACCTATAAGCTCAGCTATACTATTAAATTATCAACAGCAAATATATGATTGCTTAAATTAGAAATATTAATGTATTATACAGATATCTGACATGAATTATTACACACCAAACTGTAATAAAATAAAAATTAAAAGTTTGACAGTCCATATTCCCTATTTGTACATTTGTCTAGATGACAAAATTGATTTCTAATTTCAACAGTGTGATGTTCTCATTACCTCTACATTCACAGCTATAGAAGAGAAAAAAGCCTGAATCACTTGATGCTCATATTCCCAGGTAGTTTAATCAGGAGACACTGCCTTCTCTTTCAAGCTGTCATATTTCAAATATGTGCACTTTGCAAAATATGTTAAATACCTGAGTTTTTCATATCTGTGTCTTTTGTGGCTGATTTCCTATTTAAAATGGTACCCAAGCAGAGTGTTGAGATGCTTTCAAGTGTTTCTAAGTGTACTTCCTTCACACAGAAATAACATACGCTAAGTAAGCTTTGTTCAGGCATCTGCCATAGGACTTAATCAATCAGCAATACAAATTATGTAAGGTGTTCAGAAACAGGAGTGATCACAAAAGGATATTAAATTGATCAGCTGATAAAAACGCTATGACTTGGATCTGGAGCATTGGTTGAGTGCCTAAAGTCCTTGTCTTGCACACACCAGGATTCCATATGGGTGCCGGCTCATGCCCCAGCTGCTCCACTTCCCATCCAGCTTTCAACTTGTGGCCTGGGAAAGCAGTAGAGAATGACCCAAAGCCTTGAGGCCTTGCATTCATGTGGGAGACCCAGAGAAGCCTCTGACTTTAGACTGGCTCAGTTCCAGCCATTGCAGCCACTTGCGGAGTGAATCAGTGGATATAAGATTTTTCTCTATCTCATTCTCTCTGTAAAAATCTGACTTTCCAATAAAAATAGTAAACATAATTCTAAATTTAAAAAATGGAAAGCAAAGTCTAACTTTTGTGAATGTGTAGAAAGTGAAATAGTAGGGGCCAGCACCATGATGTAGTAGGCTAGGCCTCTGACTGTTGTACTGGTATTCCAAACAGGTGCTGGTTCAAGTCTTGGTTGCCTACTTCCAATCAGCTCTTTGATAATGTGCCTGGGAAAGCAGTGGATGATGACCCAAATCTTTGGGCCCCTCCAACACTCAGGTTCCACGCTCCTGGTTCCTACTGGCATAGCTCCACACTCTGTAGCTATTTGGGGTGTGAATCAGTGGGTGAAAGATCTCTGTGTTTTTCCTCCCAACTCTGCCTTTCCAATGAAAATAAATATTTTTAAAAGGTGACATATTATTAATAGAATTTTGTGCAGAATTAAATGTGTGGGAAAGGGCCCAGCACGGTAACCTTGTGACTAAGGTCCTTGCCTTTCATGCGCCAGGATCCTATACGGGCGCCAGTTCGTGTCCTGGCAGTCCTGCTTCCCAACCAGCTCCTTGCTTATGGTCTAGCAAAGCCATCAAGGACTGCCCAAAGTCTTGGGACCCTACACCCATGTGAGAGACAGAGAGGAGGCTCCTGGTCCCTGGCTTCAGATTGGCATAGCTCTGGTCATTGCGGCCACTTGGGGAGTGAATCATTGCAGGAAAGATCTTCCTCTCTGTGTCTCCATTTTTCTGTATATCTTCCTTTACAATTAAAGAAAAAATCTTAAAGTATAAGAAATAAAAATATGTAAAATGAAAACTCTCAAATTATAAAAGCCATAAAAAAGAAAAATCAAAACTAATCAAAATGTTATCACCAGAAAAAACTAAACAGAAAAGATACCAATTTGTGCCCTGGCTGCTTAACATCTGATCTAGCTCCCAGCCTGGGAAAAGCAACAGAAGATGTACCTTGATCTTGGGACCCGGCCAACAATGGAGGAAACGGGGACGAAGCTCTTATCTCCCATTTGGCCTGGTCCAGTACTGGCTGTTTCAGCCTTCCAGGGAATGAAACAGCAGATGGAGATCTATTTCTCTCCATCTTTGAAACTCTTTTAGATAGATAGACAGATAATTAGATAGATAAGTTTTAAAGGAGGGAAGGAAGGAACAAAAAGAACTATTCACCATGTCATACTTACAGAATTTTTTAAACAATCATCATCTACATCAAAATTTGATGTATCTGTTGGGCTACTAACTTCTGGAATATATGGTGCTTCACAGTTTCGAATATTATCCCAATCAATTCCACTAAAAAATGGATGTTTCTTAAAGTCTTCTATTCCATTTTGACCAAGCCGGTGTTCTCTACTACAAATGAGCCTTCGAATGAGATCTTTAGCATTTTCAGACACATCTGTCACTTGGGCTGGAAACTGAAACCTCTCCTTAACAGCAAAAAACAGAAGCAAAATATCTATCAGTATTTAACTGACTTATAGGTTGCTTGACTTATTTATTTTCTTACAAATAAAATCTTTTAAAAATAAGTAAATCTTGGTGCAAAGTATCAAACTAAAATAGCAACAAGAATAAATATAAGATAATTTTCTTAAAAGAACATTTTATTCTATATGACTTAGCTATATACATACTACAAAAAAGAAAAAAGTATTTATGCTAAATTCTTTCATTATGAGAATGAAGGGTTAATAATAGATTCTGAATTAATACTTCAACAGAGTACAGGTGGCTGTTGACATTCAGAGTCATATGTTAATCACTAAACGATAATATACATTTTAAAAAGAATTTCTTATATATTTAACCGTATTTAATGTGAATCACTGATTTAAATAATCTTCACAACACCCACCTTAGATGACCACTATGGCAATTTTAGGCACAGAAGACTTAAAAATTTTTTTGAAAGTTTCATAAATAATAAGTGGCATAAATGATAAATGATATAGCTGAAATTTGGGAAGAAGTTGTCTCACTCCAGAATTGGCTGTTAAGCTTCATGTCGTGCCACAATGATTTATTTCTGACACACTGTAGATGCTATGTAGCTACAATTATTTATATAAACTTTCATAAATATCCAATCACTACCTTTGTAACCAGATAGAAAAAATATGTTATGTGAACATATTTTTATACATATAGAACAACACATCATGATGCTTCTCTGGAACAAATTAAAATGACCAGATATAATTCTTACAAGGTGGAATATTCCTGTTCACACTCAGGATTTTTGCAGTTGCTAACAATCTTCTGATCATTTAATGATTTAGGAAGACCTTCTACTTCTCATCATGAGTACTGTGTTCCTATTTCATTTAGCACTAAATGAAATAGCTTTCCAGTGCTTCCTGATCTTACATAATATTGCAATAGTTGTCTTGTACACACACCTTTAAATATTTCCAAAGGATAGAGTCCTAGAACTGATACCTACAGTCATTTAATCATACTTGTAAAATTTTTAGCAGACTATATGTCAATTTACATACCTAAAGAACATAAGAGGACACTCATTTCATTATACTCTTAACAGTGTAGAGTGCAATTTCATTTTCCATCTTTGCCAATTTGATAACAGTATACTTCATTTATTACTAAAGGTTGAAAATTTTCTCAATTGTGTTATGGTCATGATTACAAATAAACTACAGCAAGCAAAGATGCAAAGATACAAATTTTCTGCTTAGGAACTTGTGCAATACAACTGGAGAGATGCTGAATAGTACTTTAATGCAATTATGTTATTGACCAGATTAATTTTTTAAAAAGGAGTAAACTATACTAACTTTATGATTCATGATTTTTCCATATGTCTCCACCAGAGATTCTGCATAAAATGGTGTTTCTCCATATAGCATTTCATACATACAGACACCCAAAGACCACCAGTCACATTCAGGTCCGTATCTGCCTTTTCCATCTTCCATTGCTTGAAGAATTTCAGGAGAGATATAATCTGGGGTTCCAACAGCCACTGAGGACTGAACCTGAAGACGTTCATATTTTTATTAATCTACTGTAATATATCAGAAACAAAATCATAAATAACCAATTTACACACAGACTTTATTATCCATAACTGCATCTTTGTCACCCTCAGAATTTAGTCCCGTTGTATAAATAAGCTAAATTTTGTATGATCTCCACAGTGTTTCAGAGGACCAAAAACCTACAATTTTTATTGCAGATGTTAGCTGATTGTATTTAGGATGAGAATATCATTTAAACCATCATAACAACTAAAAAACTGAGTATGTACTTTAGAGTTTCCTTATTACATAAATTTATATGTCTATAATACATAAAGAAAAGTCAAATTCTTAAGATTTCACAATTACATAGGGAAGGAGGAATTTTCAAAATTTGGAGAAAAGTGTAACCAATGTCTAGAGATAATATAGTGAAAAGCCCTAGAAAATAAATGTCAATAATGTACATCAAATAAGTTTTTGACCACAGGGTCAGCATTGTGGTGCAGCTGGTCATGTCACCACTTGTGATTCCAATATCCCATGTAAGAGTTATTACTCCTAGGAATGAAGCGGCTGGATCATATACATCTATTTTCAAATTTCTGAGGAACAACCATACCACCTTCCATAATGGCTCTGCTAGTTTAAAACCCCATTGATAAGGGGAGAGCCCACCACCAACTAAATTGTGCCAAAAAAAAATTTTTAAAAAGAAAAACTAAATAAAATCTCACTGACAGTGTAATACTGTACCTTTCTATTCATATCCTCATAAGTATTTATTATGATTTGTACTTTTTGGATGACAATCATTTTAACTGAGGTAAAGTGATACTTCAATATAGTTTAACTTGCATACTCCTTTTTTTAAAATTGTATAAATTTTACTTTTGGTAATTTTTACATGTTTGATTAGGGAGTGAAGGGTCAAGAGCTAGAGCAAAGTGGGTGAGATAATTTTTTGACATTCTTTTTTCCTTCCTGTACCTGGGGGAAGAGGAAAGAACAGAGCAGAAGCCCCATCCAGCCTCCCAACCATCCCAGGGTCCCCAACTGGGGCATGCTCAAAGGGTCCTGCTCAGCTGGCTTTGATAGTTCAACAGTTCTGATGAGTAATGATCCTGAACATCTTTTCACGTTTCGGTCATTTCTTTCATCTTTCGAAAAATGTCTATTCATGTCCATTCCCAATTGCTTAGTTAGACTGCTTGTGGCTGTGTGTCTTGAGCTCTTCATATATTCTGGATATTAATCCTTTAGCAGTTCAGTCTGCAAATATTTTCTCCCATTATGCTGCTCCCTCTTTGCTTACTTCTTTCTTCAACATATTTTTATTTTGAATTTTGAATTATATGGTACAATTTCGTACAGGTTGGGATTTCCCCCAAACTTCAACCCCACCCCCGACAAATTTCCCCATTTTTACTACAATAGTGTAGTCCTTCATAAGGAATCATAATTCTATTAGTCTCTTATTTAAGTGTACCTCGACATTGTTGGTACAGACAATGTTAGACAGCCCAGCATCCCATTGTCTACACATGTCCAACAGTTTCATTGGGAATCTATCTTTTGTCTGAAAGCAGGGATGCATTTTGCATTATTCCCCCACAACTGTATATGACAGACCCCAGTACTCCATCACTATACATTTCCATAATTGAGAAGCCATGAAACAAGGTCAACAACTGGTATGAGTTAGAACAGCCACAACAACAACAAAAAATTACAGCAGTGCATTAGTTTCTTAACTCAATGTAATTCAATTTATCTGCTTTTGCTTTTATTGCCTGTGCTTCCAAGGTGTTTTCCCAGAACCAACTTGCATCTTGGCAACTTCATTTCCAATCCAGCTCCCTGCTTATGCACCTAGGAATACACTGTAAGATGGTCCAAATCCTTGGGTCCCTGTTTCCATATTCAAAACCTGGATTGAATTTCATGCTCCTGGCTTCAGCCAGGCCCAGCACTGGCCATGTTGACAATTTGGGGAATAAACCAAGGAATGGTAGACCAGTCTTTCCTCTGTTTGTAACTTTGCCTACTGGGAGTGGGAGTAGTGGCAAGACAAAGACAGGGATGGAGAAAAAGTGAGAAAAGAACAACGGAGAGAGATGGAGAACAAAAAAGAAAGATGAAAAAAGGAGGGGAGGGGGGGAAAGAAGGAATATAAACAAAACTGACAAAGGAAGAAACAGAAACATAAAAAATTCTGAAGAAAAAATTCATTTTGAATTCTGAATCTACTTGTTAAGAAACAAAAGAACACCAAACTTCACAAAGGCTATCGAAAAATACCGTGAAAGTCAGGAACAAAGCCTAGGTTCTCCCTACCATCACATATTTAACAAAGTACTGAAAGTGACACACTACATAGTAAAAGGGGGAAATAGTATTTATGAAGATTGTAATAGAAAAAAAGCTAATTATTGCTAGTACATTATCATTATTTTATAATGTAGTTTCATATGCTCTGGGATTTCTCCTCCCCATTTTACAGATTCCCCTTCCCTCCACTGATTCCCCCCACATTATTACAGTAGTATAGTCTTTCATAAACAGTCCCATTGACAAAATTCTAATGTCCTCCTAGCATTGTTTCTTCTCCAGCACTGTTTTATCTCTAACTTGTGTTTTTAAATAGGTATTGCCCGTTTTTTATCAAGTCTTGTAAAGTGGTATTTCACACATGTAGCCCAACCTACATGAAGTACCCACAGATGGGGACTAACCTAACACTGATCTCCTGTCCTAGGCTTTGAAGAATTATTACACTCTATTGTGTAATCCTGGTTTTCTGCATTAAAGTCACAAACTGTCTCTTTTTGGGGGACTGGTGAGACCTACTTCCACTCACTTCCACTGAGGCTAAAACAGTCGTAACAATATCTGCTGTCTACTGCCTAAAAAGCTGGGTCCAGATTTACAGTTATTTATAACCGAATGGCTATTCAGTACCACATATCCCTTCCAATTAGAGTTGACTCTAATTCAGTTGGTGTCATTCTAGATGCCTCATGAAAATTCCTCACAAGATGTGAAACTTCATCACGATCAGCCTCAGCAATCGCAACAGGTGCTGTTCCATTCGCAGACTGGGTACAGCTTCAGCCAGCCTTCCCAAATCAGTCAGGTTGCCTGCACAAAGCTGGTTTAAGGTGCTGGAAAACATTTCTGTCAGATGCTTTGTCCAGGAATGGCCTGTGATGGTGAAAGTGTTTGCTGCCCGAACTTAAGGGTTGTTAAAGTAGATCATTGTTCTTTAGTTTGTAAATATATTCTCTTGTTCAATACCAAAGATATTGCTTACACCTAATTTCTTTAAGGAGAATGAAGTTTTTTATTCTCTGCTGCCACTGTTCTATGAACCACCACCAATCTGCAAGCAGCTCCTTCCCACCAGTGCACACTGTGCTCACAGTTTGGCAAGTTTCTCCTCGTTCCAGATACCATTTGTTATCTTGTCCGTGGGTAAAAGGGGCTGTACATGGAACTAGCACTGGTGTTCAGGGGGTCTACAGCATACTATCTGAGACTGAGTATACATACCCGGGATGCAAAAGCACATAACCCTTTTTAAACATATTATCTCAAAATAAGTAACTGGTTTGGAATAATGTGACATCCTCATAATCTACAAGATGTATTATATAAAACTGTTCTAAAAAAAACCCTGCTAACTAAATAGGTATATATCTGAACTTTCATACAGCTAGGAAAATAAATACTAAAAAACAAAGAAGATGAAAAAGGATAATGTTTTAGCATATGAACATTTAATAAGTAAACAAAATAACTAAAGGGTTTGGGGTTAGCAGAAAGTAAGCAAATTGGAACAAAAAAAAAAATCTAAGAGGAGTTTCTGAAAAAAGAATTCATTAGTTGAACATTGTTCCTCAGAATAACTACACAATTAGGGAAACAAATGAAAGAAACAAAAGCGAAGATGGAATTGTAAATTCTTTACCCCTGAGATTTTCCTTTTCGCAGCAAATTTTGTCATATGTATATATTTCACTAAAAGAAGTTTTTAAAAGCATATCCATCAATACATATACTTGTGAGAAATATTTTCTTAACCATTATGAAAACTGGAAACATCTTAAGTATAGTAAGTTACCAGGTAAAGAAAGAATAAGAATTTCATAAAAGCCACCTAGTATTAATCTTAAAGATCATTAATATAAACTGCTTGAATGGCTTATCATGTCATAGAAAAACCCTATTATAAATCACTGTCTTTGTGAAAGGAGATGGAACTCAGCAAGTGAATGGATGGATGGATTGATGACTAACCTGACTCAATGGTTTCTAAAACATATACAGAAGACAAGAGCAAACAGATATCTACAGCAATTATTTACAGGAAAAATAACTGATATCTTTATTTACCGTTCCATCTTCCATTAGCTTCAGACAAGAACCAAAATCTGCTAATCGAATATGCCCATTCATATCCATCAATATATTGTCAGGTTTGATGTCCCTGAAAAGATAAGCAGAAGTAATTATTAGTTTAAAAACACAAATATAATTAGCTGCCTCATAAAATGAACCTTCTAAAAACTCTCAACTTCTTTTTCAAAGAAGCACTCTAACAGAATGTAACCAATGTATGAGGGAAAAACCTATATCAAAACGGCAGGAAAATTACCATGCACACAAAGAACTTGCTTAAAATAAGGCTGACTTTGCAAAAAACTGAAGAATTTTGTGTTAAAAAATTTTAAGACATATAAAAAAATTTTTCCCTCTCATGTGTCTCCCATCTATCCATTCTACACTGCTAATATAAGCATTGTACCTGTTGACTTAACTCGTCTTTCAGAGTTCTGTTATGTATTAAAAAAAAGAACATAATCTTATTTTCATAGAAATAGTATATTATGCACAGAAATCTATACATTTGTCTTCACTTACAACATTTAGAACTATCACACTTTTTGTAGATTCATAGTATCTAATTTTATGTCTAACAAAATTCATTTAATCAGTATACACTTGAATTTGATCAATACTTCAATTGTTTACAATCTTTTTCTATTTTAAACACTAGTAATGCAAACAATTTTATGCACATGTCCTTTCACAGTGTAAGAACACCTACAGAATAAAAATTTAAATGTGGAATTTCTAATAAAATTTAAACAGATATATTTGAAATTTTGATGGATGTAAGCAAAGTAGCTCTGCATTGTAGCTGAATTAATTTACTTCCCCGGATTATCAGTTCAAAGTACCTTTTAGCCTACAACCTCATATCTGAGTAGCTAGGCAAATACTCATTTTGTGGAGGTTTGCTTATCATTAGATAAAAGTTGGTAGTAAAATTATTATTTTCTATACTATCAACAAGTCCATATCTCCCTATACGTAGAAGTTATTTGTGTTTCTAGAATGACAAATAACCAGAACGACTTTCGCTCATGTTCTATTGCATTGTGGCTGTCTTAACAGATTTTTAAGTTTTGTTCATGTTAGAAACATTGGCTTTTGCTCATTACCTGAGTTGTGAGCTTATTTTCCTGGTGAACATCTGTTTTTTGACCTCATATACAGACTTGGTCTCTCGTGAGGTCTTTTTGTATTAAGAATTATTGATACTTAATGATTTTCTGAGTTTTAATTTATAGAGATGTTTCACCCACGTAGAAATGATAAACTCTGCCACATCACATTAAGAAACATTTTCCCAAGGAGAATTGCTGGGGTCCGTGCAGTAGGTGTGGATGGTACAAAGGCGTGAAAAGAACAGCTCCCCTGCTTGGCAGGGGCCATGAGAATTTCCAGCTGTTTGGCAGGGCCCAGCGGATTTCTCTCTGACCACCTTGACACAGTCTCACCCCCTTTTTTGCATGGACACTCAACCACCCCACTAAGAATTCTGTAATCTACTGAAGCATTGTTTGCCCCTGTGAGATGGGGTTTTACAACCAAAGTGAGCTTGAGAATTAACATCATTGATAATGTCCTGGTGAGTGGGCCATTAACTGTGCACAGGAGTACAATTAAACCCATGCTGCTTGTGGACACCTTATTGTGTGTCTACCCATTGCCCTGAAATCTGGCCCAGACACATACCATGCCTTCTGGGAAATAGAGGCTGAAAGTCTCTATTTGGTATCATAAACATTCAACAGGTTTTTCTGTCATAAAGGTTTGTCATTGGAAAGTCTACTGAAAAATTGGTTTTGTTTCTCTCACAAGTCACTTGGCTCTTTCTGTTCCCAAAGATTTTTTTCTATATTTAAAAAATCAATAATTAAAGTTTTATGATCTAATGCTGCCATTAGTTTATAGTTGCCCCATACATCATATATTCACTGCACAAACTATACAAGTAAAACTGCTTGAAATATTATTTTAAAAGAATGAGAAAAACCCAGTGTTTTATGTACATGGATATTCTTATTTCTTAATCCCTATTCTTCTTTTTTGAAAATCCAGATTTTATTCTGCTATGATTTCCCAATACAATGAAATATGTTGTTGACATTCTTAGAAGCAAGGGCAGAGGCAAAGAATTCTTCTGGGTATTCTGTATCAGAAAGAACCCTTCTGTTCATACTTCCTTGTTAAAAGGCCTAGGATTCTGAGTTACTGGTTTTCTTCTTTGAAGTATTCTGAAGATGCTATTTCAATAGCTTCGTACTAGCACAGTCGTGATGAGAATTCTGGGTACGGTTTTTCTCCTATACACAAACTGCTTTTTTCCTCTAGTTGCTTTTATTCTTTGTATTCCACACTTTCATTACAATGGGCGTAGTACAGTTATCTAAAAATTTTATATTCTTTGGGGTTTGCTGCAATCTTTGATTCTATAGAAGCATGTATTTTCCAAATATGAAAAGTTTAGAGCTACTGTTTCTTCTGCATTTGTTGTCCCTATTTTCTCTTCATTGAAATCAATAACATGTTAGATCTTTTCATTTTTAAGAATCTGTTTCTTTTTCAACTTTTTTTAATCTATGTTCTTTCTGGAATAATTTCTATTGCTTTACATTCAGATCTGCTGGTTCAAGCCTAAAATGTCTGCTTTCTTCTACTAAAGCCTTCCAGTGAATTTTTATTTAAAATACTGTTTTTTCTATTTCAAATTTTTCAATAACAGTATCTATTTATTTATTTATCTATTTGTTTATTTGTTTGTTTGGCAGTGACACATGAAGATCCCAGCTGCTGGTTCACTTCCCAAATGCTCCCTACAACTAGGACCAAAGCTAGGAGCCAAGAATCAAGCCAAGTCTCCCATGTGGCTGACAGAAATCTAATTATTTGAGTCTTCATGGCTACCTACCACGGTAAGTATTACACGAATTGGCAGAAAGATGAAATCAGGAGCTAGAGCTGGAAATTAACCCCTGTATCTCTCCCTGACTCTGACTCCCAAATATATAAATTTTTAAAAAGGGAATGATTATTTATTTGTAAGGCAGTTACATGAAGACAGAGCAAGAAAGCACAAAAGATGCCTTCCATCCACTGGTTCACACCCCCACCCCCAGATGGCTGCTAGCACTGGACCAAGAGCCAGAATCCATCTAAGTTTCTTATGTGGCTGGAATCTAACAATAGTATTTGTGTAACAGCAAGCAGGCAATTATCATATCTATATTTTCTAGAGCTTTAAAATAAAGTATATATGACATAATATTCACAATGTGTATAATATGCTCCAAAATGATTGTTCATCCGCAAATTATGATTCAGTTATAGAACAAAACAGCCAACTCTGGCAATATGAAGATGGCCAAGATATAAGGATTAGTTGGTCAAAGATTTTTAAAGCATTTCTTTAAAATATTTTTCCTAGACCAACAGCAGTGGTCTGGATTCAAAGCGAAGCAGCTGGTGCATAAACCAGCAGCCAAATGCAATGCTAGATTCAAGAAGCCTCTTTATCCACTCCACCACAGCTCCAGCCAAATAAATATATGGACTTTGAAGAAATTCTCCTTTTGAAAACATGCTCAAAATTCTACAATTAGAAGATAATAAGGAAACCCCTCTGATACATGAAAACAGATCTACCATATGACTCAGACACCCCACTCCTAGGAATAGTTCTCTAAAGGAAATGAAATCAGATTTTAAAAGATTTTTATGTGTCCCCATGTTTATAGCAGTGCAATTCACAATGCCTAAGGTAAGAAACAAACCCAGATGCCTATCAACTAATAAGATGATAAAGAAAATGTGATACTCATATACTACAAAATACTCAGTCATAAAATAAAAAAGAATGAAAATCTTTTCTTTTACAGTGAAATGGAACCAATTGGAAATAATTAAGCTTAGGGAATTAAGCCAGTTCCAAAACAACAAACATTGTATCTTTTCCCAGATCTGTGATAACATACACAGTACAAAAAAATGCAATCTATATGAGTGAGACTGACTTCCAAAGATGATTATTGTGTACAGTCTTTGTATATATTTCTGAGGGACAGCAGGTTATTTCTGTTTTATTTTTTTCTACTTACTATGTGTTAATAACACTACCTAAGCAAGTGTTAAGTATGTAATTGCAAAGCATAATGAAACTGTGCCATTGCAAAAATTAGGTGGAAAAAAATAGAGAAGGAAGTAGGTGAGTGGAGGATGTGCACAACAAGAACGGTAAGGATGGAAGCAGCACAAGGCTCCTAAATCCACATCACGAGATACATTGTATTTGCTAACTTTAAATTTAGAAACAAAAAAGCCAGCCTGAACTGGCATTAAAACTAAGTCAATTAAAAAAATTCCACTTTTAGTCAACTATATATTCATTTCTACCAAAAAAAACACCCTTATTTTGCTAAAATAAAAAATTTCATTTTACAAAAAATGACAGGGGACCTTGGCCAAAAACAAACATATCTCTGCAGATTGCATATGTGCATCTAATTCTCTATAATCTACAACCTTAAAACATCAAACAATTTATATCATTTCTGACTAATCTACTAACCAGCAAGGAATGATCCTTCTCAAACAAAGCAGTTTCTAACAGGGTCTTTCTAGTCTGGAGGTAACATGTACAGCATTGTTTAAATGATTATACTGCGGAAGAACAGGAAAAACAGAGATCAAGTTGACTCCAGTTAGTAAAGAAAATAAAATGCCAGCATTTTGATACTCAAATCAGTATTTTCATTATCTAAGCAGTACTATAAAACACCTCAAATGACTGCAGTGGAAAACTAAACCACATGATAACCAAAGACAATACAATAGTCATATCAAACTTATTTTCTATTATTTTTTATTAAGATTTATTTATTTATTTTTATTGCAAAGTCAGATATACAGAGAATAGGAGAAACGGAGAGGAAGCACTTCCCTCCAATGATTCACCCTCCAAGTGACCGCAGTGGCCAAAGTAGAGCCAATCTAAAACTAGGAGCCAGGAGCTTCTTCTGGGTATCCCACATGGGTGCAGGATACCAAGCCTTTGGACCATCCTCAACTGCTTTCCCAGGCCACAAGCAGGGAGCTGTAGTA